CGGGCCGAAATCGTGACGCCTTTGCCGAGATCGTCCGCGTCAGATCCATTATTCGCTTTGATCTCGACTACCGCTAAAGATATCGATGTTATTGGAGAAAAACATTATTCATTCGCGTCTAATGAATCTATCTCTTAAATCACAGCAATTTTTAAAGAAATTGACGCGTCATTCGGAACTTTATTATTTTACGTATTGTATGCTATTGAAATTGCGCAATTAATATTTTACGAATTGTATCTTTTTCTAAGATGTGTTCAGTAAAGGCGGAGCAGCCCTATATAACGTCGAGATTTCGGCCCGCTATATCGCTTTAATAATCGTCAGCTTATTAATTTTAAAAATCTAATGCGTCAATCCTTATAGCAGTGATCATGTAGAATAATGTTTTTCCCCAATAACATCGATATATTTAACGGTAGTCGAGATCAAAACGAATAATGTATCTGACGCGGACGATCTCGGCAAAGGCGTCGCGATTGCGGCCCGCTTTATCGCTTTAATAATCGTAAGCTTATCAATTTTAAAAATCTTTAATGAACACATCTTAGAAAAAGATACAATTCGTAAAATATTAATTGCGCAATTTCAATAGCACACAATACGTAAAATAATGTAGTTCCGAACGAGGCGTCAATTTCTTTAAAAATTGCTGTGATTTAAGAGATAGATTTATTAGACGCGAAGGATCCAGGCAAAGGCGACGCGATTTTGGCCCGTTGTATCGCTTTAATAATCGTAACTTTATTAATTTTAAAATTTAATACGTCAATCCTTGTAGCGGAGATCATGTAGAATAATATTTTTCTCTATTAACAGCGATATCTTTGGTGGTGTCGAAATCAAGCAGAAAAATTTATATTGCATGAGTGATATTGGCGATCATGTAAAAAATTTCGTCGCGGTATCATGTTTTAAGAATCATAAATATACAACTATTAACTCTTTAATGCCATAATTTCAACAATACAAAGCACGGAAAAAATGCATTCTTTGAACGACATCGGTTTCTTTAGCGGTTGCCGTGTTTTAAACCGAAGTTATCTATTATCGCCGATGCTCTTTCTGAATAACGTATTTTAATTTATGCAAAAAATAAATCTATATATAAATAATAAAAATATTCTAACAATGCTTTTTTCTATGACTGCAGTCGATAAGAGATTAATCGATATAGATGCTGAATAATATTTTGGTGGTTGGTCAATGAGATTAAAAAATTATAAAATTTCCTTGTCATAATTGGTTAATGCAGTGTTTCGGAACATCTGTAGTTTTTTTCCAACCGTAGCGTAGCCTATATTACCTACTGCATACATGACAGTTATCTTAACCTCGCGTGTTTCTCTCTATATTTATATTTTGTGTGATCGCATTTATAGTTTCAAAATATATATTTGTAAGTTTTTTAGATTTTCTGATCTTACTGAAGTGTCATTGAATAAGCATTTTTTGCGTGAAAGTGTTTGGGTGCTATAAGAATGTACAACAAATTCTTAAATGTTGCAACAAGGTACATGACAGTTATCTTAACCTCGCCTGTTTCTCTCTATATTTATATTTTGTGTGATCGCATTTATAGTTTCAAAATATATATTTGTAAGTTTTTTAGATTTTCTGATCTTACTGAAGTGTCATTGAATAAGCATTTTTTGCGTGAAAGTGTTTGGGTGCTATAAGAATGTACAACAAATTCTTAAATGTTGCAACAAGGTACATGACAGTTATCTTAACCTCGCCTGTTTCTCTCTATATTTATATTTTGTGTGATCGCATTTATAGTTTCAAAATATATATTTGTAAGTTTTTTAGATTTTCTGATCTTACTGAAGTGTCATTGAATAAGCATTTTTTGCGTGAAAGTGTTTGGGTGCTATAAGAATGTACAACAAATTCTTAAATGTTGCAACAAGGTACATGACAGTTATCTTAACCTCGCCTGTTTCTCTCTATATTTATATTTTGTGTGATCGCATTTATAGTTTCAAAATATATATTTGTAAGTTTTTTAGATTTTCTGATCTTACTGAAGTGTCATTGAATAAGCATTTTTTGCGTGAAAGTGTTTGGGTGCTATAAGAATGTACAACAAATTCTTAAATGTTGCAACAAGGTACATGACAGTTATCTTAACCTCGCCTGTTTCTCTCTATATTTATATTTTGTGTGATCGCATTTATAGTTTCAAAATATATATTTGTAAGTTTTTTAGATTTTCTGATCTTACTGAAGTGTCATTGAATAAGCATTTTTTGCGTGAAAGTGTTTGGGTGCTATAAGAATGTACAACAAATTCTTAAATGTTGCAACAAGGTACATGACAGTTATCTTAACCTCGCCTGTTTCTCTCTATATTTATATTTTGTGTGATCGCATTTATAGTTTCAAAATATATATTTGTAAGTTTTTTAGATTTTCTGATCTTACTGAAGTGTCATTGAATAAGCATTTTTTGCGTGAAAGTGTTTGGGTGCTATAAGAATGTACAACAAATTCTTAAATGTTGCAACAAGGTACATGACAGTTATCTTAACCTCGCCTGTTTCTCTCTATATTTATATTTTGTGTGATCGCATTTATAGTTTCAAAATATATATTTGTAAGTTTTTTAGATTTTCTGATCTTACTGAAGTGTCATTGAATAAGCATTTTTTGCGTGAAAGTGTTTGGGTGCTATAAGAATGTACAACAAATTCTTAAATGTTGCAACAAGGTACATGACAGTTATCTTAACCTCGCCTGTTTCTCTCTATATTTATATTTTGTGTGATCGCATTTATAGTTTCAAAATATATATTTGTAAGTTTTTTAGATTTTCTGATCTTACTGAAGTGTCATTGAATAAGCATTTTTTGCGTGAAAGTGTTTGGGTGCTATAAGAATGTACAACAAATTCTTAAATGTTGCAACAAGGTACATGACAGTTATCTTAACCTCGCCTGTTTCTCTCTATATTTATATTTTGTGTGATCGCATTTATAGTTTCAAAATATATATTTGTAAGTTTTTTAGATTTTCTGATCTTACTGAAGTGTCATTGAATAAGCATTTTTTGCGTGAAAGTGTTTGGGTGCTATAAGAATGTACAACAAATTCTTAAATGTTGCAACAAGGTACATGACAGTTATCTTAACCTCGCCTGTTTCTCTCTATATTTATATTTTGTGTGATCGCATTTATAGTTTCAAAATATATATTTGTAAGTTTTTTAGATTTTCTGATCTTACTGAAGTGTCATTGGCGTTTTCAATTTCCTCCGTGTGCTGGGCAGGGTTGGATAGTAAATAATTAAAAAGTTAAAAATTGAATTAAAAAGTTAATAATGTTTAACTTAACTTATTGTTTAGTTAATTTTAAACGTGTTAACTTTTAACTTAAACTAATTACTTTTAAATGCATTAATTTATTAACTTTTTTCATACAAGTTAAAATTTTGTATCTTTGGTTTATCAATAATTATAATAAGATAGTATCTAGTACCATTAAAACGTGTGTTCTTACACAACGATGTCATTCTCGGCACACATAGAACGTTTGTTTAGTGCAGGTAGTTTAGTATATGATGACTTAAGAGAAAAACTGATAAACTATAATTTTGAGATGACATTAAAATTCAATAAACATATTTAAATTGTTATTTTTAAATTTTTAAATTTATTGTTAAAATATTTAACAATTAAAGATAAAGATAAAAAGCACGTAGAGCACAGGTGCAGGACGTGTGCAGGTAGAGCAATTCAAATTAAACAGGAAAGTCCTCTTATCGTTAATCGAAATCATCTTATTAACCATTTTGTTTTTAAACACAATAATATCTCTATTAGATAACTATATATATTTAAATGTATATTTAAATAATGTGTATTATTAATTATTATATAAGAAAAAATATATTATCCCTCTTATAAAAAATTACCGTTTTATTATATTATCTAATTTTAAAAAAAGTTAAATTTTAAATATATAATTAAAAGATTAATTACGTAAAATACATATATAAGTTTTGCATAATTAACTTTTAACTTTTTAATAAGTTAATAATTTTTTAACTTAATTTTAATTGAGTTAATTATTGTTTAAATAACTTTTAACATAAACTTAGTTAATTTTTGGGTCATTAACATTGAACCTAACTTAATTAAAAAAAATTAACTTACCCAATCTTGATGCTGGGTTTTTTCTGGTCCGTTCCTGGCGTCCTCAGCTTCCTTCTGAATGTCTTCGAACTCTATGTCCACTTCCGCATTGTCTATTCGCCGATGTCGATTTGGTGGGACTTCTTCATTTTCTTCATCAAGAGGGACTTGTCGTCGTTTTCTATTATAACGCCATTTTCTAGTTTTGAGACTTTTCAGAGCTTTCTCCAAAGCTTCATAGAATTCCATGTTATTGGGATTTGGAAAATATTTATTGGCGTTTATAGCATCTGGAAAAAAAATTCATAAAAAATACTTTAGTTATCGTCATGTATTTAATGTACAATATAAACAATGATAGACGGTGCATTTTTTACGAACCTTGACATGCTTGAGCGAAACGACTGTCTCGCAATTTGCATCCCCCTGGTCCAGTTCTTCCGTTTAAAGTTAAACATGACGAAATCTCCTCATCTTCGGGAAATATGCTGCGAAAATATTCTGCAGCGCAATCAACTGGATTGGTCCGTCCAAGATAAATAAAGTACCCCACCTGTAACAAAATTTTAGTAGTAAACTGAATTACTATAAATATATATTTAGAAAAAAATCTTACCAAGTCATTGTAAATTTCTTCGTCAACTTCTTCGAAGGCCAAGAAATCGTCGACGGTTCTAAAGGAAATTCCCTGTGACTTTATCGGTCTCTTTACTGCAGACTCTCGCATTAACCGTTTAATGGCCGTTGTATTTTCACTGCAGAAAAATATGAAATTGTAAGATTAAAAATTTATTTATAGTAAGTTGTTTGTTGTTCCTTAGTAAAATTATTAATATTTACTCAGTTTTCTTTTCGATGGAAATTTGTCGCTCTTCCATACGACGTAGTTGCGTCATGATCATTCTGAAATAAAATGAATGTTTTCATTCAGACACATAGACAATCTTTGTTTTTATTTTATTTTATTTGTAATTATTTTTGAAACTTACTTTAAAGACCGCACTATATCGTGGGATGTTCTTTCATCTGTTGTCCCTTTTATGTTCTCATCTGGTGTCCCTTCTTCTTTATGTTCTTGGCTATTTTCTCTGACTGGTAATAGGCGTAAATTGCGTTGTACAGTTGATGAAGATGGTGATGGAGATGGTCGTAATAATGTTTGTTTATATTGTGATAATGGTTTTGATGGTGGATGAATGTTTTGTGTGAATGATTTTATGGCTGGTGAAAGAGAGCGTGATGATGTTTGTTTCAGCTGTGATGGGGATTTTGATAGTGGAAGAATGTTTCGTGCTAATGATTGGGCGGTCGAAGAAGAGAGTGATGATGTTTGTTTGCGTTGTGGTGATGATTTTGATGTTAGAGGAATGTTTCGTACAAATGATTGAGCGACTGATGAAGAAGAGCGTGATGAAATGTTTCTATGTTGTACTGATGGAGAGGGCATGTGTTCATATGATTGTGCACGTGAGAATGATGATGATGAAGCATGCAGGGATGATGATACTGGAGATTGTGAATATTGTAATGGTGCTGTCTGTCTTTGTGTAGTTGTTGTAACAGTCATGTTTCGTGTCGTATGTCCTTGTATGTTTTTTACGTCTCTTCGTTGCAATTGCTGAGAGTGGGATGTGTGATATTTTGTAATATCCGTACTCAGCAATTGCAATGCTTTAGATGTTAATTTATT